CCGCCGCCCGCCCATGCCCCTGGCTTTTGGTGCTTTCGGACTAGGCAAGGAAACCAAGGACTGATCCCTGGAAACGGCAGACACGGGGCGTCGTGGTTTTTGTGGATTTTGGGTGGAGCGTTGGAAGATGGGGATCGTGTGATTTCAGGACTTGGTTGAGGCGAAATCTATTACTCACTACATGGATGATGGAAGTGGTTGCTTTGATTTTTTTTTTGATTTTTTTTTTTTGGGGGGGATGGTGTTTAAATGATGCAGCTAACTTTTTGACCCTGTATGAATGTAAGCCCAAGGCATCAGTATTGCTGGCGTGCAGTGCGCTGTGACACCCCAGTCTCGTTCCCACAGTCTCGCCCTGCTTACGGAAGAGCCCGTTTCTGTCTGGGGGGGGGGAACAAATGATTTTTTTTTTAATTTAAGTGTGTAAATAAGATTATTTTTATATTAAATCTGTTATATGGAACGAAAGTGGTGTTCGGATATGTTTTAATTGGACTTTGGGGGACATTCTCAAATAACCAACAGCTGTCAGGTCATTTCGGCTTTCAGTGCACGGAACCGAACCAAAAGACGAAATACACACATTCCAGCAGGTTTCACAACTTTTTTTTTTTTAAGCCGTTCTTGCTTTCTGGCACTACATTGTTGTGCATTTCAAGGAAACTGCTTTGAAAAGGGATCCTTGTTGGGGAAAATTGTTCCTCCTCTCCAGCAGAAGACCTTCATGACGGCATCTTCCAATCTGTAAAACAAAAGTTAAACTGTAGATCTTTGCAAGTTGTAATGCATAACACTCAACACTGTACTGGGCTCATTCAAATAAATTAACCCTTCGATCATGATGAATTTTGTACCATTTTCTCTAGCTACACATCTTCGGGCTGGTGTCGAGATGTGCCAGTTGGAAATGGATCTGTTCCACACACATGAGAAAACGGAGTTTTGAGAATTCATTTTCTGCTGTCCTCCTCTCCAGCAAATCTTAAGCTTGGACATTTTTCTCTTCTCTGTCCGGATTCTCTCACAAATCCAGTGGTATCCGGCCTCTGCTGATGACCTTTTATAAACGGTCTTTCAGTGGTTTGTTATAGCCCAAGAGCCCATTTCTGCGGCTGCTGGTTCCATGCGTCTCTCGTCAGGGTGGACAGCGGGCGTGCCAGGGCATTCAGGCCTTTTCCGGGTTGGGAATGCTGGGATATGCACATGCAGGTTTCCTTTCACTATTTCGAGTGTTGGTTCACTGGTGCTGAAGAGGCCTTGTGGCTTGAATATTTAATTCTAAATGCATACTGTAATTCAGAATGAACATGTGGAGTTAGAGGGGGCTGCTTCTATAAAACCCAGGTGTTCGTATTGACACGTGCCTGTCTTCCAGCTAGATAATACGAAGCAGCTAAAAAGGCACGTTGGGATCTCGTACAGAATGTAAATGGGGGGCTTTGTTAAAATTGCACTATGTGCTTGTAAGCTCCCTTTTAGAATCTAGCGTACAATTTTGGTCACCAGGTTAAAGAAACTACAGTTGTTCTGGAATCGGTCCTGAAATGAGCAGCTAGGTACAGTCCGGGACACGGGACCAGAGAAGAACAGGAAAACGCGGATGTGAGGACACAGGTGGAAAAGACAGGTAAGTGCATTTAAAACCAAGAACAGGATGCGTGTCTCTACACCGAGAGATGGAGTCGAATGAACATGCCAGGCGTGATGCTGAAGCGGACACCCTGGCTTCTGTCAAGAGGAAACGGCTGGGGGAGATCCTGGGATCGATCAACTCACCAGGCTGCACGTGTTGGGAGGGCCTCCTCTTGCTACACCATTCCTGTCCATGAGCTCACCTGCACCAGTAAGGGAATGCAGGTCCCGAGGGTTGAAAGCGATTCGGGTTTTTGGTCTGCGGCTGTAGCTCCCGGTCCTCCACACACCTGCTGGTCTTCAGCCCAGCCCCCCTTCCTGAGGATCGCACCCTTAATTCATCCAAGCAGCTGCTCAGGTGGAATATTTGAGCTTTGTTTTTAGTTCCAAGTTGTGGGAGAGGGGTTTATTTCACAAAAAGGTGAAAGCGCCGATGTGTGTAAGAGCTGGGAGCGAACGGCTCAAATTCATCTCATTCTTACATGAGTTAATATTCTTAGGAAGTGAGGGGTTTGGTTGTTTGTAACTAAGGGGCACCAGGACTGGGAGCCACTGCTAGAAAGGATGTGATCCAGTTGGTCCTACCTGCTGCCCAGGTGCGCTCCAGGGGCAACGCTGGTGGCACATGTCACGTACTAGTGTACAAACTACACACACCGCTCAAACGAGCTGGGCGTTCAAGAAACTCCCCAGGGAGATCCTCCGCCTTTGGGTGACCTATACTCCCTTGAGGATGTGGGGGAGGAAACTGGATTCGTGGGAAGCTGCTCGCTTCCCAGCAGGGAATTGAGACGAGGCGGGC